ATGTGTAAAGAAAGAAAGAAAATACATGTATAACAGTATAATGGTTCAGTGCGACAGGTCTTAAAGTGACAACAGCCTAATATACAGTACCTGCTGCCAAATTATGTGATAATGTTAAAAATATCTATAAAGCAGAAAAAGTCAAAATTATGGCCAGTGGAAATGCTGAGTGGCTAGTAACTCAGAAAACCAGTAGCCACAGTGGCTGGACAGCAAAAAAGTGCTGGCTGTAACTTTATCTGTTGTTTTTAATGGCTGTCGTCACTCAAGCAGAACAGCTTAACACACAAGCTATCCATTAATTTGAAAATGTGAACAGCTGTAGTTGTCTTTTTTTGTGAAAATGTAAAACTGTCTTTTTAATATGAATTAAACAAGTTTAAATTTTTAAGGGCTCACATTTCTCACAGACACACGAATAGAAACTCACGAATACACACGCTCCTTGTTCACAGGTTTAAAATAAAGATGTCTTGCATTTTAAGATTCCTTTATTTTGTCATTTTCATGGTGTACATAAAAACGAAATTGTGAAAAACGAAAAATTTTTACATTTACTTTACTTTTTTTATATTTAACCATCATTACACATCATATATCCTATTGAATGAACTGATAATACAATCATTTACCCAAGTCTATTATGTCATCATATATCAAACTCTAATATGAATGCAATAAGTGAAGTGAACTTTAACAGATACACCTTGCTCAGAACTTTAAGTGGCATTCAGTTCAATGTATTTGATCACTTATTTTGTTCCAATGCATATTTACAGATAATGTGATTCTTCACAATACACTGTAATATGAATAAACAAAGGAATATAATATGAATGTTAACATTAGACGTACATTAGAGGTACAAAAAAGTGTTTTGCACAGAAAAGCATTAGTTTGAAGTGAATCAGACAGTACAGATTGTAATTTGAAACTCAAGTTCCTCTTCGACCTCTAATGATCATGTAGCGCCTCCTTCTGGACAGAGACGGTCAGATAAACACACAGATTTGTGTAAATAAGACCGGAAAGCCCTGTGAGTGTGTAATAATGTATTACATTGAAGAGTTTCTGAATATAATTGCAATTGTTGTGATAACTTATACATCTTAAATATATTTTGATTATTTAAAAAAAGCATATGAATGATGTTGATATTATTGAAATCCTAATTGTAGAATGCAGTTAAAAAATATAAATCTCATATCTTTCAGTCTTGCTTGCAGTGTTGTGAGTGTTTGTCATCAGTTCTTCATCCTCAAACTCTGTCCTGAGAGAGTGTTTACGCCAACCGAAGGAAAACTTAAGCCAAATATAAATACGTTTTTATCAGGAATGTATTTTTTTATTTTTTATTTTTACTTATTAGCTAGCTTGCTGCTTTTTCCACTAAGTGCGGCAATGTTTGTGAATTGAGGTTGGTATGTACAGTATATGCAGGTGTTCAGAGCGAATGGGTCTTGAATCACCTAACTTAAGGGCTTTATTTTGTAATAATAATTGTACATTATCCTTTTCATATTTGCGATGTACATGGTGCTTGCAGTTAAATCACATTAAATAAGTGCAATTTGTGTTTTTAACCAAACTGATTCTAAATAGCTTGTGTTTTGCTTTACACCACATTGCTGCTGTGAGAAGGGTTAAAACATGTGAAGATTAAAAATGTGAAGGTTACCCGCTTTTTTATTGGATGCTGTCCTGCTTTTTCCCAGAACTGCTTCATGAAAGTCCTTGAACTCTGAGTAAAGGAGGTGTAACAGGTAGAACAGCTAAAACTGAAAGCAGAAACACACAGCAGATTTACTAAACACTCAGCAGATTCGCATCAGCAAGGAGAGAGGCTGAAAGATCAGCTTAAACCAGTGGGATATTTTATGGTAAGTACAAGTCTATGATAATGGATTTTCTGTAAGCTGTGTCTTGTGTCTTTGTATGGATATTGTATGTGAATATTCCTAATTTATTAAATATATAAATTTACAGGACTAATATTTTTCTGAATAGAAAGAAGAGTGCTTCTAAAAATGAGTCTCAGTGAAAAACCAGAGGAGAAAGGCTCGCAGTCCCAGAGATCTCCTGAACCCAGCCGTGTGTCTGTGAAGAGTGACAGGTCCATGGTTAATCCTTTAGACCTCGGTGATAAAACAGAGGACAGATGCTCACAGTCCCAGAGATCTCCTGAACCCAGCCGTGTGTCTGTGAACAGTGATAAATCCATGGATCATCCTTTTGAACTCAGTGATAAACCAGTGACCACTGACCCTATGTGAGTATAAACACAGTAGATCAAGTTTGTTTTTTAACAACTAATATATCAGTTCATGTGTAGCATTAAATTGAATTACATTTTCTCATTTAAATTTTAATTCTGTATAATTTTCAAATCTATCGAAGACCCCCAATTACCGGTATATCTATTGAAACCAATATATGCCATTATGCATTGTGAGAATTAACAACAAATATTTGAGTCATTATCAGAGATGGAGACTTCTGAACATTAAATCCTCAACCATAAATGTCATGTAATTCTTTAAATGTGCAGGTTATTATATGCCTACAGTACATCATTAATCTACAGTAGGCTTATGTACGCACAGGTGGAAAGTAAAAATATTCATTGCTGATGAGTTAATATTTCACTGTAACTGAACTGTTATTGGGATGAATCATAGTGCTATGAAAACAAATATAGGGAATGCATCTGTATATTCTATACATTATGTGCAAAAAGGGTTATAAAATAAAACGTAAAATTCTAAACCAAAAACTGATTGCTTACTATTTTAAAGCAGAAGTTAAATCTCTGAATTAGAAATGAATTCACCTGAACATACTCCAAATTACAATCGTCAATTTACAATTACTCTTCTCATAAAAATACAATTTATTGTACTACTGTACATTAAGAATTTTGAATCTATATTTAATGTCCAACAATTGCTTCATCCAAATGAATTAGTCATAATTATTGCACTTTCTATCTGTTGCACTCCACTGTTTGATGGACTGTATCTGTGAAGTACACAATCATTTCTACTTTGCATAAACACTTTCCCTGACAGCAAGTAAATCTCTGTTAAAGCTTGTGATTCACTTGCTGTCTGGAAAAGTGTTTAAGCAAAATAGAAATGCTTTTGTAACTCTCTATAATTTACAGATAATGATGTCTGTAAACTGCTAAAAAAATATATATATATTTACAGTGAATGTGTTTGATCTTAATTCTTCAGGAATTACCTGTAAAATAACAGTTTTTTGGTTTATTTAAAAAAAATGTTTATTGTAATTGTATGGTTTTTTTTTGGTTTTTTTTGTTTTGTTTTGTTTTTTTGGCTGCCAGTCGGTGTTTATGATTTTCTTCTTTCTGGCGAATACAATCAGAGTTATATTTAAAAAAAAAATTCTGGTGCTTCCAAGCTTTAAAATGGCAGTGAATGTTGATATTTTTAAGCCTAAAAAGTGCATCCATCCCTGATAAAAGTAATCTACACTGCTCCAGGGGGGTAATAAAGGCTTTCTAAACGAAGCGTTGTGTTTGTGTAAGAAAAATACCCATATTTAAATTTTTATTTAAAAAAAAAAGCTTTCGACAGAAGAAAACAAAAGAAGAAAAGACATTTAACAGTTTTGAATTATGTATAATGATGAACAAAAATCGATGGTGCTATTTGAGTCTCTTCTGCACTGATAAGAAAAAAAGCGAGGTGATCGCTTCAACAATCAGTTTCCTTTGTTTCATCATCTGGTATCTTTCATGATTATGCGTTAAGTTTGCTCTTGTGATCTCCTGTATGTTAAAGGTATAGCGCAGGATCTTTCCGAATTTTAGAGAAGACCCACCCTCTCCAATTTTTTTTAAAAAATGCACATGCACAAACACAACACTCTTGCTCGCAAGAGGGAACGCCTATTACGCCTTGCACAATTATGTTGCAAATTATAAACTAACTCAAAAACATTCATAAAAAAGACAACATGTCAAATGCCCTTCCGTGTTTTATTTACTTATTATACTGATCGATTGAGTGACCGAGGACTCAAGACATGATATTTACAACATATCACACGAAATACATTCTGAGGAAACTTTTTTGCAAATCGCAATTAGGTTACATGGCAACATATAAGCAGTGCTATTACGTTCCTTAACCTAATATGTCTCATTGTTAATACGTTGGTATTAATACGTTATTTTTATAAATAGTTGCATATGTAATGGAGAAGTAGCTTGTTGCATTTGTGTAATAATAAACACACAAGGTTTTAGAATATGAACACATGAACACACAAGATTTTAGAATATTTCAGTGTGATACCATTTACCATTTGGTCAAAAGGCTACTTTAGACAAATTGAGATGTTTACCGTGTCTATGCGGTGCATGACTTGTGCCAGGGCTAGCATTGCTAAGTAGCTTGCATTAACTTTTACTAGTGATTTTAAATGGATTTCTCCAAATAGCATGACAAACTTTACCTGTCTAGTAGAATCTTCGCGACTGCGGCATCAGTGAGAAGCCCAACCTGTGCTTTTAGCGCACGCCAGCGTGTGATATTCACCCAAAATCACTCTGGTCTTGTTTCTATATTCTGTGGCCTTTCTCTTCTTATCATACACTTCGTATACACTTTTTCTCTTTCGACCGTCAGCCATTTTCAAAGGAATGGCTGAAACCGTAACTCTGACATAATACACCTGAAAGTGAAAACTACATAGGGATGAGCACGTACGACGGCCTTACGTAAACATATCACCAGAATGATTGACACTTAGGTGGACCAATAGTATAGGCTACCCACCCGGAAAAAGAAAATCCTCCGCTATACCTTTTATTGATAAATAAAGAAGTGCTTGTTTGTTTGCTCGTACGATTACTACAGCCACTACTCATGATAGGTGCTTTCCAGTTATAAAATATAACTAGTTCTCTAATGCCCTTTTGTTTTGTTTTTTGTAATTATCAGCGAGAGGATTAGATCAGAGTCTGTAAGGAGTAACGACTTAAAACGCATTAGATTCAGCGATGGACCAGTGCAGAGAGTCAAAGACCGGCTCAAAACCAGCATGAAGAGCAAGTACGAGAGATTATATGAGGGAACCAAACTCCAAGAGAATGAAACCCTCCTGAACAGGATCTACACACAGCTCTACATCATAGAGGGAGAGAGAGAAGGAGTGAATGAAGAACATGAGGTTTTACAGATGGAGAAAACAGCCAGAACACAACACTCACAAGACACTCCGATCCACTGCAATGACATCTTTAAAGCCTCTCCTGAACCAGGACGCCAGGAGAAAGACCAAATCAAGACTGTTCTTACTAAAGGCATCGCTGGAATCGGGAAAACCGTCTCTGTGCAGAAGTTCATTCTGGACTGGGCCGAGGGGACAGCCAATCAGGATGTAGATTTCATGTTTGTGCTTTCATTTCGAGAGCTGAACTTGATCCGAGATCATCAGTACAGTCTTCACAGACTTCTGCTGGTCCTTCATCCTGAACTTCAAGATCTGGACTCAAAGATGTATGAGGAGTGTAGAGTTGTGTTCATCTTTGATGGTCTGGATGAAAGCAGAATCACACTGATGTTTTCAGATGCTCAGGAAGTTTCTGATGTGACTGAGACTTCATCAGTGAGTGTGTTGATGTCAAACCTCATTAAAAGAGATCTGCTTCCCTCGGCTCTCATCTGGATCACCTCCAGACCAGCAGCAGCCAATCAGATCCCCTCCAAATACATCCACCGTCTGACAGAGATTCAGGGATTCAATGAGCCTCAGAAGGAGGAATATTTCAGGAAGAGAATCAGTGACGATCATCAAGCCAGCAGAATCATCTCTCACATCAGAAGAGCAAGAAGCCTCCACATCATGTGCCACATACCCGTCTTCTGCTGGATCTCCTCCACTGTGCTTCAGAAGCTCCTGGAAGAAGATCTGAGTGCAGAAATCCCTCAAACTCTGACTGAAATGTACATCCACTTACTGCTGATTCAGATCAACATGAGGAATCATAAGTATGAAGAGAGAGATCCAGAGAAACTCCTGCAGTCCAACAGAGAAGTGATTGTGAATCTTGGTGAACTTGCTTTCAAACAGCTGATGAAGGGCAATGTGATGTTCTATGAGGAGGACCTGATTGAGAGTGGCATAGATGTCACTGACGCCTCAGTGTATTCTGGGATTTGCACTGAGATCTTTAAGGAGGAATCTGTGATTCATCAGAGGAAAGTCTACAGCTTCATTCATCTGAGCGTTCAGGAGTTTCTTGCTGCTTTCTATGTGTTTTATCATTATGCTATCAAACTTTTTGACAATTTGCAATTTTGTGATGTGATGCATAATCTGCACAGGGATGCAACTGATAAAGCTCTTGAGAGTAAGAATGGCCATCTGGATCTGTTCCTGCGGTTCCTGCTGGGCGTCTCACTGGAGTCCAATCAGAGACTCTTACAGGATCTACTGACACACACAGAGAACAGCTCAGAGAGCATCAGGAGAACCACACAGTACATTAAAGAGAAGATCAAAGATGGACATGGAATCTCCACTGAAAGATCCATCAATCTGTTCCTCTGTCTGCTGGAAGTGAAAGATCAGACTCTTTCCAGAGAAATTCAGGAGTTTGTGAAACCAGACAAACACTCAGAGAAAGAACTCTCTCCTGCTCACTGCTCAACAATCGCCTACATGCTTCAGATGTCAGAGGAGGTGCTGGATGAGCTGGACTTTAACAAATACAACACATCAGATGAGGGCAGAAGAAGACTGATACCAGCTGTGATAAACAGCCGGAAAGCAATGTGAGTTGTATTGTTGTATTACATTGAATAGTTTCTGAATATAATTACACTTGTACATCTTAAGTATATTTTGATTATTAAAAAGTATGTTTACATGAATTATGCTAATATTATTGAAATCCTAATTGCAGAATGCAATTAAAAAAATATAAATCTCATATCTTTCAGTCTTGCTGGCTGTAATCTCACCGCTCAGTGTTGTGAGTGTTTGTCATCAGTTCTTCAATCCTCAAACTCTGTCCTGAGAGAACTAGACCTGACTAACAATGACCTGCAGGATTCAGTGAAGCTGCTCTCTGATGGACTGAAGAGTCCAAACTGTCAGCTGGAGATACTGAGGTATTTAAGAACAAGAGATAATGTCAGTCATTTGGTCATAATGTTGATTTGTGTGTGTAGATGATCTGACTCTGTGTGTGTGTGTGTAGGTTGTCCGGCTGTATGGTGACAGAGGAAGGCTGTGGTTGTGTGTCTTCAGCTCTGAGTTCAAACCCCTCACACCTGAGAGAGCTGGATCTGAGCTACAATCACCCTGGAGAATCAGGAGTCAAGCTGCTCTCCAACAAACTGAAGGATCCAAACTATAAACTCGAGATACTCAAGTATGTGTGATATCTCCATTTAGTAATTAAATCCATATTTAGTAATTTAGTCATTTTGCGAACGTCTTTCAAATGCGATTGGTTCACTTTCACTGCAGAAGCTGGCGCGACGGTAATAGGGTTTCTGGTTGAGAACCTACTGTAAGCAGGCGCTCACCTTACTCTGGCATCAGCTTTTTTTTGTATCCATCCATCTCTCTAACTCCACCAACATAATTTAGGCATCTTGCTAACATTCTTATCATCCAAATATTAGTAGTTCCACTGGGAAGATATATCTAAGCTAGATATACTACGTCACACGGTCGCACGCCCCTCCCACGGTTGTTGATTGACAGCAGAGTTTCAACACAGACCCGCCCTGAGCGAGCTGTCATCATAGACCGTCATTGTTGATACACTGAAGCAGAATGGCGTCTAAGTGATTGTGTTGTTCTGTTCTTGTGTGCAATAATAAACACAGAAATCATTTTGATGTTCCTAAATTTGAACCGATGAAGACGCAGTTTTGTTTACGAAGGGAATATTCCCCACGATCAACGTCAATACTTTCTTGTTTGCGCGAATCATTTCTCACCAGACTGCTTTATAAACGAGGATCAGTATAAAGCTGGTTTTGCTAAGAAGCTGCTCCTGAAAAAATAATCAGTACCAACTGTTTATGTTCCCTCTGCACCTAAAGTTTTATTAATCTTTATATTAATCTTTGCAAATCGCGGGGAAAAAGTTTTTCATGACCATTATTGTAACATCAATCTGTCAATGAACTAACGTATACATCATCAGTAAACACAGCGTTCGTATCTCACTACTCTACCCTGCAAGATTGTTCAAAGTAACATTACGTTAACCAACCATTCAGAAATGTCCTCAAGCCTTAATTATCAAACTTCTTTGCGGCCGTCATCTTATTCTGGTAAACAGTTACTCCAGTTCAAACTAATACGGTTGCACAGATGTGTCCTCAGAGACTCGCACTGTCATTCTCCAAAACCTTCAACTGTTGTCAAGGCAACACGCCACGTGCGTTCACGCCCGCATAACAGAGGGGCGGGGTTTATTATTTAAAGGCATATGACACTCAAACAGCTTGCTGAAAACAAGAGCTGATTTTGACCGGGTAAAATGGTGTTTTCTTAAAATACTAATGAGAATTTTTAATAAAAGTATATTTCAAAGTTTTCGTTTAGACCCTAAACATTCATATTAACTTTTACAAAAATGGCATTATATGACCCCTTTAAAGATTATATGGGCAAATTAACTCATGAATTATCAAATAATTTGTTTTACGTTTATATGTATATATCAAATCATTTTGATCACTTTTGGATGCTAACTAGGGGTTTAAAAACACTAGAGTATATTTCTTATAAAGCTGTTGACTGGGGCCTGAACATCTCAAGATATCAAATCTAAAGACATTGAGACATGCGGCTCTGTGAAGCAGATTTAGATCAATATGTGTTGAGAAATGTGCCATACAAATAAACATGACATGACTCTTTATATTAATATTCTGTATGTGAATATCTCTTCATACTAATTAAAATGTGTTTTGTCTTTATGTTTATGTATCTTCTTAGTTTGGATCATGGAGGTTCTAACAGGATAAAATCAGGACTACGAAAATGTAGGTTCTTTCTCTGACACACTCTTGCACTTTTAATGAAAACAAATGAGACGATATAAACTGTTTTTTTATTTTCTCTTGTGTTCAGATGCCTGTGATCTCACACTGGATCCAAACACAGCAAACACTCATCTCATCCTGTCTGAGGGGAACAGAAAGATCACGTATGTGGAAGAGTGTCAGCCGTACCCTGATCATCCAGAGAGATTTGCTGATAATCCTCAGGTTCTGTGTCGAGAGAGTCTGACTGGACGCTGTTACTGGGAGGTTGAATGGGGGTCATGGGCTCGTATAGCAGTGGCTTATAAAGGAATCAGCTGGAAAGAAGGTACTCTCTGTAAGTTTGGATACAATGACAAATCATGGTGTATTTTCTGCACTAGTAATGGATTTGTTGTCTGGCACAATAATGTGGGCATTAACTTACCAACCCATGAACAAAATTGTACGAGAGTAGGAGTGTATCTGGACTGGCCGTCCGGCACACTATCTTTCTACAGCGTCTCTGATACACACACTCTCACACACTTGTACACTTTCAACGCCAGATTCACTGAACCCCTCTATGCTGGATTTAAGGTTCTCCAGTCTGAACTGTGTCTGTGTCAGATTTAGCAACAAACACAGGCTGACATGCCTAGATAGACCGAGTACAGTCTACAGGAGTAGAGGAACACTGAATATTACTCTTCTCACGCAAGTCTCTCACAGACGATTAATGAATATGCTCATTCACACTGGCATATGGACATTTCTCAAAAAAGTAATTTTATTAAGATAAAAGAATAACGATAAAAGCATCTAATCTCAAATTTATCCTGGCCAGCATTTGTGCAGGACAGTAAAAATATAATTGTAATAAATCTACTCTACTTAATTATCTGTCCACATATGATTGTACTGTACTGTATTTATTTATGGCTAATAACTTTTGATTGTAAAATGTATAATGGCCTGGGAGGATGTTCATTATAAATGGCCAATATGGCAACAGGCAACAGGTCACTAAACATTTCACTAAAAAATAAAGACATTGAGCAGCAGTTTTTACTCTTCATGCTTCAGCTGTCAGAGAGTGTTGTGTAAGCGTCACAGGAGGCCGACGGTGAAACCATAATAAGTCACGAATCACTGCAAGGGTCACTGAGATCCTCCTGTTTTCTCAGGATTGTGTGTGAGACAAAAACTGGTTCCTCCAAATGTACCGTTACGGCAATGTTTTATTGTAAATCTGCAGTGTTTTGTGTCCTGTATCAATCACACAGTTCAACTGACAAAACCCAGATCAATCTATGTATACTGCCAGTTTGCTCATTGATGAACTGTAAGTGTCTTACTTTAAAATCACTTATTTGGTTCCAGTCTTTAAAGAGAATATGAATGTTAACATTAGATATACACTAAAGTGTTTTAGCACTAAATCATGTGTTTGAACTGTATCAGACCAGACTTTCCATGCGGATTGTAATAATAATATCTAGTTCCTCTTGAACCTCTGATGATCATGTAGCTCCTCCTTCTGGACAGAGACTGATCAGACACACTTAGTTCTCATTGACAATGAAGGATCACTGAAAGGTGCCTATGGTGATTCTCTGCAGAAACATTTTTGACGTAAAAACAAACTTGTGGAAAATAAACTTTATTTAATAACTTTTTAAATGGTTAGTTACAAACGCTGTAATTTTTACGTTGTGTGAATGTGCACCTATATCTATAATACAAATCTATAATTACAAACAGGGGTGGGCAAGAACCAAGTGTTATAAGAATATTTTCATTTGGAGAAACATTTGCTTTTACTCCAAAACATTATAACAACAAACAAAGAAATTTTACGTTTCCCTGAAAAGTCTGTAGTTCCTTGTTACATGTAAGAAAGAATCAATATTTCATAAAAAGAAGTGTGTATTCTTTGATTGGTTGATCCTCTCAGTAGTCCACATGCACTTTGACCTCAAGTACATAAGTATTTATTTGAGTAATATTAATTCATGTTCTGTTTGTACTTGAAGTAGAAAATATGCGTGGTTTTTCCACCGTTGATTTCTCATATTATGATAAACCTGAATGTGACTAAAGTATAGCAGTATAGTATAGCTTCTGTAATTTTATTATATTTATAAATGACTTCACTTCATAGGGGCATCTGACTTAATTTACATAACACAATAAAAGCATCTTTACCAGCACAATCAAATAGAAAACAATCATGTTTATTAAAAGACAATGTAAAACATACACTGAATGGAGTATAGAAACTTTGAACGTGAAACACGAGGAAAACCACTTTGTGAGCAGATCTCTGAATAATCTCTCTCACAGAATAACACACCTACATTAGAGAGTGTTGAAGAAAGAGTGAGATTTTGTAGATCGACCTGTAGGGGGCAATCCAATGCAATTCAACTTGGTTTAGAAGAAGTAGCAAAGAAGAACCTGTGCATGTGTAATCCACCTGTGATGTTATCAGGTGTCTTCCTGCTGCGAAATCACCTGATCTGTCTCTTGAAAGTTATTACATTTTGGCAAACAGAATGGAAATATGAAAAATATGTTTTTGAAGAGGAAAGAACTTTTTGAAAGGTTGGGAAGCTGAATCCGTACAAGTTGGACCTTTGGAAAAGAAGATGGCTAACATGGTAGGAATAGTCACACCATTTTGATGGTCAAAAATATTACAGAGGCAGACAAGCATTGTTGAGCATTGTATAGGCAAACATACAGTCTACTGAGGAATTTATTAAGTTCAGTTAATGTTTTGGGGTGAATTAGTGGAAGTGCTTAAAGATTCCAACCCGAAACCCAGTGAAATTGCTCAGCCGTTTAAATTCAATTCAGAAGATGGAAAAATCAGAGTAATTATTCCCAGTGTTGTAGATCATAAAGATTTGGCCCGAAGTTATGTGTGGTGGCCCAAGTTAGATCAGTTTGTTGAAAGGTTGGTTAAAACACGTTGTATGTTCATAGGAATGTTTCGGCTGTAGCCTCATTTGGCAGTATTTCTATCCCTTACAGCTTCTCTTATAGACTTCTTTGCTTCCTTGACCTCAGCGGCTGCACTCTCCATCTCCTCGAGGCGTGTTTTGCCCCAGATTGTCTTCCTGGTGTATTACCTTGGCATGATGGCTTTTCTACAATGTTTATTGCATTAAAAAATAAAACATATGTAATGCAATATTACATTAAAATCTTTAAGACTAAATTTACCTTGTGCCTCATGTCTCACTTTACCCCACTGGCACATTTGAGAAAAAACAGATCTCTCTTAGTAATTCTCTTCACATGGTTTTATATGTTAATAGTTCATCAACATGATGAACTATGATATACGTTTTTTTTCTACCAGAATCAATTTGCTCTGGCACAACAGTTAAGTTAACAGCAGGAAAATTTACTTTTACAAAAATATTTTTGTGAAAAAGCATGCTCATCACAGCACCATGAGCTCCTCTCCTTCATGGCCGAGGGGAAATGGCATGGGCTTAAGAACATAATGGTCACATGACCACAAACGTGTTCCGTTGACTAGATACAGGGGGTGTCTCACATTACCCGATATCTCACATTACCCTGTCTCCCCCAAACATTACTCAATGTGTGTGATAGTGTGTTTGTGTTAGAGTGTGTGTGTGAGAGAGAGAGAGAGAGTGAATGAGTGTGTGTGTGTGCGAGAGAGTGTGTTTGTGAGTGTATATAAACGTTGCTGCCCAAAGCAGGTGAACCGGAAGAACAAGTTAAATGAAAACAACACTCACATGTAGTTTGACAAGGAAGTTGGCTGTAACAGCGGGAGAATTCTGTCACGTAAGTACATTTATATATATAACAACTAGATATGTGTCGTTTGGATTATAAATTCATGGTTATTGTTATTTATGGTTTTGCAGTTGTTTTTGAGAGTGTTTTCGTTTGACACTGTCTTGGCAAATGCGGAGGCCGTTGTTGTTCTTGTTACGACGCAGTGGAAAACAAACCGGGATACCGTATAAGAGACTGAACAAAATACAACAATAAAGAGTTATTGGGGACATGTTCCTACATGCAAATAATTGTACCTGCTGTTCCAAGCAGTTGCGGCGACAGATTCGTCAAATGCTATTTTATTTTCCACAGAACACAATGTACAGATCAGCAGTGACTCACCTGAGAATGTGATGTGCGACACTAGAGGGAGATGTTCACAATAAACATGACATCAATGATCACAAAACTCAGTCATAGTCATTCTCGTGTGTGTCAAATAAACAGATGTGGGATTAAATCTGAACATTTATTATTTTGTTTTGATTTATCTCATTCTAATAAATCAAAGTATAACCAACAGTTATCAGAAATGCAACTATAATAATGCTTTGGTGATTTTAGGGATCTTTATCTCTAGTCATATTCTCAATATTCATTCATATTTTACTGTCAACGTATAACAGTGAAGATCTGATGACATTAAAACAAAACGAGAAGCACACATAATCCTACGTCTGATGGAAGTTTTTTTATTAAATTAATTCATACTAAATAGTTTGTAAAAAAAATGCTTCATTTTACAAACATTTAACTCAATGTTGTGAGTTTGTGTGTGTGTGTGTGTGTGTGTGTGTGTGTGTGTGTGTGTGTGTGAGAGAGAGAGAGAGTTTGTGTGTGTGTGTGTGTGTGTGTTTGTGAGTGTGTGTAGTAAATAAAAGTGTGTTTCTGAAATATGTGTGTGAGTTCTAAAGCCTTGATTCTGACTAAAGCAGGTGAACCGGAAGAACAGGTTAAATGAAAGCAACACACACAGGTAGTTTGACAAGGAAGTTGGCTGTAGCAGAATTCTTTCACGTAAGTACATTTATATATATAAAAACTAGAAATGTGTCATTTGGATTATAAATTCATGGTTGTTGTTATTTATGGTTTTGCAGTTGTTTTTGAGTGTGTTTTTCGATTGACACTGTCTTGGCAAATGCGAAGGTTGTTGTTGTTACGAAGCTGTGGAAAACAAACCTGGATATATGCTGTATAAGAGACTGAACAAAATCTCACAGATAAATGGTTTATAAACTGGGGACATGTGCCTACACGCAAATAATTTTACCTGGCGTTCCAGCAGATGCGGCGACAGATTCGTCATATGCTATTTTCCACAGAACACAAATGAACAAAAATGTCTTCCATACTATTTGTAAATGTTAGTATCATTATTATCCGTCTCGCGAGCCACTACCTCTTCATTTTGAGACTTTTGTTTCAATGTAAACTGATTATGATGCTATAAATAAATTTGCTTTTTTTGTTTCGTTGTACAATACAAATTTCTTTGTATGAGTTCATAATCATCTCATTATCTATAGGACTTGCTAGTGTCATCTTTTACTTTTTGAGCTACAGGAAGTCATTAAATAAAGTCTAACGTTTACAGTATTGTATGCATCGTCCTATAAATATTGAGTAGTTAAAGGCCTATGACATGTACTTTAATGAGCCACCTTGAAAAAGATTATATGCCATTGTCACATGACATGAATAACTCCACTTATTGTAATTTTGGGTAAATGCCTTCTTTAGAAAAAAATTCAAACCAACATATATTTATACTTGGTTTATCTAAAATTTTATCAGAAATAAATGGAGATGGTTGTGAGGAGAAAATTAGGCACATTAACTTAACTTAATGCAATACATGTTAAGAGATGCGTAGTTAACCCTGACCCTATATTTATCATTCCTCAGATTTATTATTGTATAACAGCCAACAAAAAAGTCTGTTCTGAGAAATAAATCATAAGGCTTGCACGTGTACATGTCAACTTATTCTACTAACATGTAGGTGTAACGTTACTTATAGTCAACAGAATGACTAAAGGCAATCATCAAAACAATATGGAGCTGCCATTGAGTGATGTTGGGTGGTAAATGTGTTTGCAGGAGTACTTTTACTTGCTTTAATGGAGGACAAGTAAAGCAGTACTGCCTCAAAATGAGTGTCCACAAAGAAAGAGAGAAGAAGAGAACACCAGGAACAGATTCTCCAGCGCCCAGCTGTGTGTCGATGAAGAGTAACCAATCTATAACTCAGCCCCCTGGAGTCAGTGATGGAGCATCTGACTTACGGTGAGTCACTTCATACAAGCAACTGACTTTAAATAACTTAACCAAGGCGAGGCAAGTTTATTTATAGAACATCATACACTATGGCAATTCAAAGTGCTTTACATAGAAAGGAATTAAAATAATCACACTTTGGCAATTCATAGTGCTTTGGATAATAGACCCAAAATAAAAGCAAAGGAAATTAAAACAGTTATAAAAGGAATTAAAAGGGATAAATGATGCAGTTATAAAATTAATTAGTGTAAAATGAATTCAAGTATTAAAAAGAAGATGCACAGAATTAACTTCTCATCTACCAAAACACCGGTGTATCTTATTTTGCTTGTAGTTTTACTCTTACACTGTGTCTGTGGTGTTTATTCGGCACGAGTCGATACAGTCAGCACCCCACAGAACCTCGAGTTTAATTGAGACTTCATTCAAACTTATTACTCCACCACAGACCCAGATCATCAGCAATGTTTCATCTTTCAATTTTCCCAATTAAGTGTTTTTTGTTTCTCTCAATTCTCAATGCCATTTGAGTTCAGTTTAGAATCAAAAGGAAGAATACAGTGCAATCGGTCGGACGTAGAGTGAATAGAGTTATAAAACAAATTAAAGGAGATAAGCTGGCAAAACACCGGTGTATCATATTGTTATATGCTGCTTGTTATACTGTGAGATTATCCCATGTATGATTTTTTTTCTTTTCTGTATATGCTGTTTATAACTAGGAGTCTAAGAACAGCATCACCAGAACCCAGCAGTGTGTTTATAAAGAGTGAGAGATCCATTACTCGACCCCCTCATTTGAGTAATCGATCAGTGACTTCTGAACCTCGGCAGCACAATGCAGAAGCAGCCCTGCTGGAGGAGACTGCAAACTTACAGAAACCAGTGAATGATGAAGTACAGAGAGTCAAAGACCGGCTCAAAACCAGCATGATAGACAAGTATGAGAGATTATTTGAGGGAAACAAACTTCAAGAGAATGAAACCCTCCTGAACAGGATCTACACACAGCTCTACATCATAGAGGGAGAGAGAGAAGGAGTGAATGAAGAACATGAGGTTTTACAGATGGAGAAAACAGCCAGAACACAAGACACTTCGATCCACTGCAATGACATCTTTAAAGCCTCTCCTGAACCAGGACGCCAGGAGAAAGACCAAATCAAGACTGTTCTTACTAAAGGCATCGCTGGGATCGGGAAAACCGTCTCTGTGCAGAAGTTCATTCTGGACTGGGCCGAGGGAAAAGACCATGACAATATAGATTTCATGTTTCTGCTTCCATTTCGAGAGCTGAACTTGATCCGAGATCGTCAGTACAGTCTTCACACACTTCTGCTGGTCCTTCATCCTGAACTTCAAGATCTGGACTCAAAGATGTATGAGGAGTGTAGAGTTGTGTTCATCTTTGATGGTCTGGATGAAAGCAGAATCACACTGATGTTTTCAGACACTCAGGAAGTTTCTGATGTGACTGAGACTTCATCAGTGGGTGTGTTGATGTCAAACCTCATTAAAGGAGATCTGCTTCCCTCGGCTCTCATCTGGATCACCTCCAGACCAGCAGCAGCCAATCAGATCCCCTCCAAATACATCAACCGTCTGACAGAGATTCAGGGATTCAATGAGCCTCAGAAGGAGGAATATTTCAGGAAGAGAATCAGTGACGAGCATCAAGCCAGCAGAATCATCTCTCACATCAGAAGAGCAAGAAGCCTCCACATCATGTGCCACATACCCGTCTTCTGCTGGATCTCCTCCACTGTGCTTCAGAAGCTCCTGGAAGAAGATCTGAGTGCAGAAATCCCTCAAACTCTGACTGAAATGTACATCCACTTCCTGCTGATTCAGATCCACATGAGGAATCAGAAGTATGAAGAGAGAGATCCAGAGACACTCCTGCAGTCCAACAGAGAAGTGATTGTGAAACTTGCTGAAGTGGCTTTCCATCAGCTGATGAAGGGCAATGTGATGTTCTATGAGGAGGACCTGATTGAGAGCGGCATAGACGTCACTGACGCCTCAGTGTATTCTGGGATTTGCACTGAGCTCTTTAAGGAGGAATCTGTGATTCATAAGAGGAAAGTCTACAGCTTCATTCATCTGAGCGTCCAGGAGTTTCTCGCTGCTTTCTATGTTTTTTTCTGCTATGGAAGCACCTTGGATACCCTCAAGTTTTTTGATTCAATGCATAATCTGCTTAGAGGAGCAGTAGATAAAGCCCTTGAGAGTGAGAATGGCCATCTGGATCTGTTCCTGCGGTTCCTGCTGGGCGTCTCACTGGAGTCCAATCAGAGACTCTTACAGGATCTACTGACACACACAGAGAACAGCTCAGAGAGCATCAGGAGAACCACACAGTACATTAAAAAGAAGATCAAAGATGGACATGGACTCTCCACTGAAAGATCCATCAATCTGTTCCTCTGTCTGCTGGAAGTGAAAGATCAGACTCTGTCCAGAGAGATTCAGGAGTTTGTGAAATCAGACAAACACTCAGAGAAGAAACTCTCTCCTGCTCACTGCTCAACAATCGCCTACATGCTTCAGATGTCAGAGGAGGTGCTGGATGAGCTGGACTTCAACAAATACAACACATCAGATGAGGGGAAAAGGAGACTGATACCAGCTGTGATCAACTGCAGGAAAGCTCTGTGAGTGTTTTTACTCATAAACTTATGACCTTTTTACATTACTTGAAGGAAGTACATTTTCACTTTTATAGATTCTGCACTTACAAAATTGTTTTACTCTCTTTCAGTCTTGCAGGCTGTAACCTCACTGCTCTGAGCTGTGAAATTGTGTCCTCAACTCTAAAATCCCCAAACTCTGTCCTGAGAGAACTAGACCTGAGTAACAATGACCTGCAGGATTCAGGAGTGAAGCTGCTCTCTGATGGGCTGAAGAGTCCAAACTGTCAGCTGGAGATACTCAGGTGTGTAATAATAACACTTAGCCATGAGTAGGCCTAATCTCTGATAAGAGGCCATATACTATGGGTGGTATGTATGTTTTCAATTAGCAGATTACATTAAATAGCTTTTGATAAGAGAAGCAGCTCACCTCACCGTTGCCCTAGTGGCATGGCTTTGATTTGGCCTCAGGTAAACATAGCCATATGGATTTAGATCTACCATTGATGGTAAAACAAATGTTCCACTGTCTCCCTTACTAATATGAAAAAGACACTTTAGAGCTACCTAACAATTTAATTTATTTATTTAATGTTCAAGTAGGTGTGACCGTTTGCTGAATTATAAAAACATTCCATTAAAGTTTCCATCATTTTGACAGATAAAAAAAACAAGGTGTCTGGTCCACTATGTTTCTCTTAGTTACAAACATTCCCACTGTAAATGAGAACAGGGAGAAGTATTGAAGAAAATGTGAGTGATGATTTAAAGAGAGAAATTAGAGATTCCAGGTATAGTCCAGTGGTCCGATTGAATGAATAGCTACTGTTTTCCTCATTAAAACAAATGTGGAAATGTTAGAAATACAGCAGTTACACTTACAAGTTACTATAAACATTGAAGCATTGATTTTGCTTAAACATGAAAATTGTGTAATTTAATCATCCTCATGTTGTTTCAAGCATATGATATTTACTTTCTTCTGTGCTACACAACTGGAGAGAATTTGCACAATAACTAAGTTCCTGTCAAGGACAAAAGATGACAAAAACAAGAATAGATTTCAGATGCCATCTCTCTGCAGGTTGTCCGGCTGTATGGTGACAGAGGAAGGCTGTGGTTATGTGTCTTCAGCTCTGAGTTCAAACCCCTCACACCTGAGAGAGCTGGATCTGAGCTACAATCACCCTGGAGAATCAGGAGTCAAGCTGCTCGCCGACAAACTGAAGGATCCAAACTATAAACTGCAGATACTCAAGTATGTTAAGGAATTGATACACACATGTGAAGCTTCTTTAGAATGATAGGACAACACTAAGTGTTTAATGTACTAACGAGTCATTTTGTCTGTATGTTTTAGTCTGGATTATGGAAGGCCCCTCTGTATCAAACCAGGTCTACGCAAATGTAAGTTCTTCCTCTTACACACTCTTGCAGATGAAATGTCTCGGTTACGTACAGTATGTAACCCTCGTTCCCTGAGTAGGGGTTGCCCTAGAAAGCCTATTGACTTTGAGTATTACAAAACAAGCCAATAGCAAAGAAATGCCATTGGTCTGCGGAATTTGCATAGCGTATGTCCGCCTTACCTCGTGGGTATAAAAGGAGAACAATTGGCTCGTTTTGTAATACTCAAAGTCGATAGGCTTTCTAAGTGAAACCCCATTCATCTTCATCTGACGGAACTCAGAGTAACAACGAGTATCTGTCATCTTGTGTTCAGATGCCTGTGATCTCACACTGGATCCAAACACCGCAAACACTCATCTCATCCTCTCTGAGGGGAACAGAAGGATCACATATGTGAAAGAGTGTCAGCCGTACCCTGATCATCCAGAGAGATTCGCTGATAATCCTCAGGTTCTGTGTCGAGAGAGTCTGACTGGACGCTGTTACTGGGAGGTTGAATGGGGCCTTGGGGACAATGAACGGGGCTCATGGGCTCGTATAGCAGTGGCTTATAAAGGAATCAGCAGGACTGGAGGGACTGTCTGTAAGTTTGGATACAATGACAAATCATGGTGTCTTTTCTGCAATAGTAAAGGATTTACTGTCTGGCACAGTAATGTAAGCAATAATATATCAACCCATGAACCAACATCTAAGAGAGTTGGAGTGTATCTGGACATGTCGGCTGGCACTCTTTCCTTCTACAGCGTCTCTGATACACACACACTCACACACTTACACACGTTCAATGACACATTCACTGAACCCCTCTATGCTGGATTTAAGGTTTTTGAGTCTGAACTGTGTCTGTCAGATTTAACAACAGAGAGACAATTGACAACGCTTCTACCTCCATTATAATCTTGGTCAAATGGCTATAAGTGGGAAAGTTTGGTAAAATTTGTGAAAATCAATATATACAGTAGATAATGAAAATATACTATTTAACTGCAAATTTAGCAAATGTTACATTGAGAAAAACATGTTGTAAAACATTAATGTGTAAAAGCACCAAACAGTCAATGCGCTTAAAATACTTAACTCTGTTTATCAATGAGTCATCAAAAATACAGAATCTGACTTGCATTTCTCTGAATCGAGTCTCAGTCGAGGTGGTCAGATGGTGGTTCTGGTTCTGGATTCACTTGTTGACAGTGTTGGGGAAAGTTACTTTGAAAAGTACACGCAACACCTCTGCTTTTACAATTTTTCTCAACACTAGGGACGGGAGCTGTCAGTCAATAAATGGGAAAACAAAGTAACATTTTTGAAAAAGTAGATATAAAAAAGATATTTTGTTGTAAAAGTAATGCATTGCTGTACTAGTTACTTTTAAAAGTAATCTGATTACATAACTCAAGTTACTTGTACTGCTTGTTTATTCTCAGAAACACAAGAGTGCAGTTTTTACTGCCCTGGTTATAAAACGCAACCGAAACTGTGAAACTAAAGCTTATCAAACCTTTTAATTTGTTGTAATCCAGGTTCTTGTGGTTAGTCATCACTTCCTGACTATATTCATGAAATGTATACATTGTAGTTTTAGATGTGCAGTTTGTTTCATTTTATGTTCCTGTTCTTTTTATTTGATTTATTTTAGCATAGAATAACTTTATTTAGTAGTTCGGGGAGAAGATATTGATAAAGCGTAATTTCAGAGAAATCCTTTTGTTTCCCAAAGGTCTGAATCAGGAAATAGATTATAGTATGGTTTATTGATCCTTTGCCATCTATTCTCTTCTTCCTTTATTTCCCCCTTCTTCTCTCCTTCTTTTCTTCCCAAATCTTATAGTAGAGTAGTACACCTGATGGTGATTGCTAGAGTGTATAAAGCAGAATATAATGTTGCTTCTCTTGATATCTGATGATGGCCTTGACAATGGCTGGAACGTCACGTTTTTTAATAAATAGGCCTAAAGTAGGATTTTTTTAAGAGTTAGTGTTGCACATCTTTCCTATTTACCTTCATTTTAGATTTTTGGTTACACCTCCTCTTTTGTTGATAGTGCATCTCTTTTTAATATTTTCTTTGTATACCCTTTTCTTTGTAATGAAATGTGGCACTGTATACTCTTTTGGTCTATTCTCAGAATAAAAAGTTTTAAATCTCACTATATGGTGTTTATTTACAGTAAATTGCTCTGTAAGATAGGCTTAAAGGGCGGTGGAACCACATTATCATGAGAACTGCTTTGTGGAATGCGAATGTCAAAGAAAAAAAACCAGTTCCTTCTAGATGCAGTTTGTTTACTGTAAAGGTTCGGCCTGTTTTTTTTTTCCATAAATTTTCTTACAAGAAAGTTGAGTGTGTACCTAATGAAATAATCAGTCTGAAACAACGCAGTCATTGATTTGATAACTGATTAGAATGCAGGTTAATTAATTTGTTAATCGTATGAATAAATAACTGATGAAAATATGAATGTTAATGTTAGAGATGAGCGGTCATAACTGTTTTAACAAACAAAAGCATTTATATTTACTCGATTGGGATTAGGCGATATGATGATCATTTAGCGCCACCTTCTGGACAGAGGCCGATCAGACACATGGGTTATAATTAGAGATTACAATACTTGAATAATCATGAAGAAAATTACATTTTGAAATTGTATCTCACAAACTGTTGGAACATTTAACATTGTTTCTTTTAATGTAAAAATTTTTCTAATCAAAAATCATGTCTAATTAATTGCAATCGTGAAGCTTATATTATAAGCTTATAGTGTGTTTACACTTGTCTTTTTAGTGTGTGTGTGTGTGTGTGTGTGTGTGTGTGGACAACATCCGGATACAAGTCGCATGTTAATGCCGAGTGTAAACGCAGCCTCTTCTGGGTTTCTCTTGTCTTACTGATTGTTTGATGGATTTGCCCCACCTGTCTCTTGTTTCCTTCCTTTAGTGTATTCATGGCCCTCAGGTTGTGTCCTCAGTTCTCCGTTCTCGTGTGTGCGTAGTGCGTATTATTCTCTGGTATTATCTTGCATCTCGTGTGTTTGTTAGTTATTTTTGTTTATTGATATTTATAGAAGACTGCAGGATTTAGATCCAGCCTGAGTTCTCTCATTGCTGCAGTCACCGTGACAACAAACATTCTGTCTGATTTTATTATGTGTTTATTATTTCTATTGTTTCTAGTGTAAAACGTGTTAGTGCCTGTAGTGGTGATTGTCATTTCTCTTTTGGATAACTTGAGGTAAGTCTACTCGTGGCTCTGTGGTTGATCTATATTGATACACATATTCTATTTAAGTGGACGAGGCATATGCAAATGTTTGTCAACATGCAAAATAAAATCATCCAGTCGACCACTGAAGCACCGGAGGAATTTAAAGAGATTTGCATGAGAGCAATGCAACCCTCCCCATGCAAATGACAAATGAGGACACTGGGATTATGGTCATCCTTGCCTTGACCTGTAGACCGCCACTATCTGTTTATCTTCTTCTTCTTTTCACATTTCACTTGATTTTTGCTGTTTTTTTCCTTTCAAATTACTGGTACAGGTGAAACTCGAAAAATTAGAATATCGTGCAAAAGTTATAATAGGCTATTTTATATAGACCCATTACATGCAAAGTGAGATATTTCAAGCTTTTATTTGTTATAATTTTGATGATTATGTATTACACAGCTTGTGAACTTTTCACAATATTCTAATTTTGAATTTGGGGTTTTTATAAGCTATAAATCATAATCATCAGAATGATAATAAAATTAAGGCTTGAAATATCTCACTTTTATATAATATATTAGTGTATTACTGAAATGAACTTTTGCTGGATATTCTAATTTTGTGAGTTTCACCTATAGATTTGATTAATTTTATAGATTTTATTGTTTTTATCCTTGTCCGAAAACAGACTATCGATCTTTGACAATTAGATCCACAAAACGTTTTAATTATTACATGTTTCAAATATGATGAATGGAAACAGTTCATTTATTGTGTGTAATGTGACTTCCCCACAGTTTCAGCATGGAGACAGCCGTGCCGATGAAGAGCTGAAGATGAAACATGAGACATGAATCATGATGATGCGTCAAAAATCTCAAAGAGGCAAGTGTCAGAATATTTTTATTTTGCACAAAATTATCAAACTGGAAAAAGTATGAAAATATGTATTTCAATGGTAGGCCTATGGATATTTTGATTTCACAAAATGCTGCACAAGAAAGTAGACAGAATTTATCCATCAACAACACATTTTGAGATTCAATTCACATTATTTTGTAAAGCGTTTTACACAGCTACACATCGCTTCAAAGTCCACATTAGAGCTGTTGTATGGAAAATCACAGTTAGCTAAAAATGTATTAATATAAACAATTTAATAATTTAAGGCAGTAATGAGTTAATTGAAGTAATACTTGTTTGTTAACAAATAAAATGTAGCATGTAATGGGAGATTGTGATTGTCTAAAACGGACTTGCATTACAGAATTCATTCATGTCCAAGTCCACTGTGATGAGCTAAATATATGATAGAGAGAAAGAGAGAGAGAGAGAGAGAGAGAGAGAGAGAGAGAGAGAGAGAGAGAGAGAGAGAGAGAGAGAGAGAGAGAGAGAGAGAGAGAGAGGATGAAGCAGGGCGTTCGCGTTCTCTTGTCAAAGCGTTCGCGTTATGTTCGCCTGGTCACGCCTGCCGCATCCAGCACTAACGGGAATAGCATTTCTCGACCCGACACGCTTCCACATTAGAGTCAATCGTTAGGGTTCAGTCAGTGATTTGATCGAAACACCGAGGCCTGTGCTTTTCTCGCCGTGTGTTTCTATTGTACATGCAGCAGAAGAATCCATGACAGCCGCATCTTCCATTGATCTGTTGATATCTGGGATCTTCTGCTGTCCTTTACTACGAGCTCAACATCTGGACACGATCACAGCCTCTTCTCTTTTATATTTCACCGAGAATCCTGTTTTTATGAAGACATTTTCTTTTTAACACGGTGAATGTAGATGTGAACGCAGCCTTTTTATTCATAAGCCAAACAGTGTTTTTTTTTAGTCGTCGTGTTTTCGTGATTTAGATTCAGCCATCGTCCCGCGCAGGCCGTGGTTTTAGTCACGGATCTACACGATTGCTTTCTGCGCTAAATGTCGCGGATGTTGTTGATTATTGGTGTTATTTATCGCGGATTTAAACCGTTTTTTAAATCCGCGTGGATGGGGAGCGGCGCCAGGCGCGAATTTGCGTCCGCAGCAAACGACGCGTTTATTATTGCCTGATCTCAATTTCTCCTTTTTATTATAATGATCATTTTTGGTTTTCGATGAGAATCGACTGTCTACCACACAAGGATCACCTTCGCACCAAGGCGGGATTTTAGACGTATTTACAACATATTTGTTTTACCTCAGATAGATTCCTCATCGTTAATATGTTTTTTTTATGTTTAATTCTTAATGAAAATCACCTGTCCACCAGAAGAGGATCACCCTCAGCTCATCGTCTCATTGCAATACCCTTGACGATCAACAGTTCATCGCGTAAAAGCGACATGCCTCGAAATACGCGCGATTAAAGCGTTTCAGCGTCGAGTCGAAGAATTTCTGCTGTGCTCATAATGAGTAACACACCAAAACCTTTCTCATCTTCACTCATGGATGCTTTTGATGCTGTATGGTAATTTGTCTTATCGACAGCGTCAGGAGACTGTATTCATATTGGATTATAGCCTATCATTCCCCGTGTGTATTATTCTTCCTGCGTGTTTATGACTGAGGACACTCTCTAAGGTGGATTTGAAATATCATGTTTTTGGTCCATTATCGTCTGGAAGATGGCAGCTGATTAAATTTTAATCTTGATGCATTCTGGCGACACGGGAGGAGAAGAGGAGAAGCGAGTGAATCGGGGAGGAGAGGAGAGAGGAGAGGATGTAGGGTGGATACGGAACACCAGAAGGTACGAATGAATGAACGAACGAACGACTGTCAATGTGTGTGTGTGTGTGTGTGGGTGTTCAGTTAAATCCCAAACACACACATTTCCATACACACCACTGTCTAGCTTGATATTCCAAATCTCACGTCACTTCATTCATACACATTTATGTTAGAGGATATATTATAATTGTAGTGTTTTTTCCATTGTATTTTAGAATTTGAATGTGTGTGTGTGTGTGTGTGTGGTTCACATCTACAAGTCACTTCACTATCATAATTCTGGTGTCTTTCTAATGCATTAGTGTATGTGTGGGTGTGTGACACACACAAATATATAAACTGAATTAACTGACTACTAGAAACTTACCCCCCCCCCCATACAAATTTTATTAGCAAAAATACATTCATATTTAGCATCTGAGGACAAACCTATCCCTAAAATATAGTATACACACACACTGTACACACACACACACACACACACACGTAAAAACACATCACTGCATACACATCACAGTATGCACACACATAAGCACACATTCTCCAGACCTATATATCATAGCTACACACATGCATGCACGCACGCGTTGTGGTCATTTTTCATTGGATGTAAATTGAGTTACAGGCCAAAGGCGCGCTGAACGCTGCGGATCGTGAGTGGTGTGTAAATGTGCTGGCGCCAGTGTCTGCTGGTGCATTCTGACAGACCTCCATCTCTCCCCACCCAACATCTCCTCCATCTCACACACACACCCACACACACACACACACACACACACACACACACACACACCCTCTGCATCTTAGCAAAGCATTTGAGTGTGTGTGTGTGTGTGTGTGTGTGATTAAGGGCCAAAATATCATTGCTATAAGTGAGCTAAATCTCCCTTTGTTTGTCTTCAATTGGGAAAATGGTTAAAAAAAATAATCTAAATATTGTTTCATAAATATGCTGTTGTATTCTGGAAATATAAAATGTTTTCTTTTAGGGTTTCTGTTAGTCATATAAAGTCTATGGTATAGCCATAATGTCCATAATGTCTATGGTACTGTATGGCCATTTTAGATACAATCGAAGCAAAAATGATTCAGACACCAGATACAATTTTTGATTTTTTTTTTTTTTTTTGCTAGTGTGTGCTGGACACTATAGTTCATTTATGAAAGTGAGGAGAGCAAAATAAAGTAAAAAAAGAAATACAGTGATCACCTGTAAAATGTATACCTTTTTACACACACACTGAACAACATGAAGCATTGCTTGGTCACTGGTTGAGCTAAACTGGTATTATCTAATTGTGTAGTTATTCAAATATCCACTGATCTGAGAACTGAGTTCTGCTCATATTTATCACCATTTTCTAAACTATAGCAAATAAACTGATAATGTGGGAAATGTTGAAGGTGTCTGAATAATGTTGGTTTAACTGTATAAGTGTGTGTGTTCAGACTGAGGTACTAAATCTGATGAAACTTGGACACCAGGGTGTGAAAATATTATGCTAATGCTAAAAAAGTAGACGTTTAAGCTTGGTTTTAGTATTCATTTGTCCTCGGTTATGTAAGTAAACGTGTTTGTGCTTAATAGACCGATATATTGAAGAGAGTGTGTTTATAAAGACACATAATGATCTTGTGAAGATCTACGGATGGTTGAGCGAGCAAAGACTCGAAACACAAACACATGCAAAAACACTGGCTACTAGTCAAAGCAAGCGGATGAAGAGCAGAAAATGTTCTCATGTCACTTCTCTTGTTTGTTTATTGGTAAAAGAAAAATGTGAAACGCTGTGTAAAATGAGCTCATAACTCGTAAATAGATGAATACATTGACACTGACCCCTGCGCTGGTGGTCATTCGTTCATCCTCTAACGTTTGTGGTCTTATTTATAACACTAAATACATAGGTATTATTTATGTATCCTTCTCGTTTTGCTTTCTCAGCAGTTTTGGTGTTCTTGTTTGTAGAAATACTTCTTTTCCTAGTGTGTCACGCAGAAGTCATTTGTAAGCCTTCCTTGAAGCGTAAATGATTTCTAATCATCAGTCTTTGGGAAACCTGTCTGAAAACAGTATTGGAGATCCTGGACTACATAGCCAGTAATAAGGGTCAATTTTTTAAAATTTTAATTTAGGCACCATATGAACGCTGAATAAATAAGCTTTCTATTGATGTGTGGTTTGTTAGGATATGACAATATTTGCCTGTGAGTCTGAGACACAACTATATGATAATCTGGAATCTGAGGGTGCAAAAAAATTTAAACATGGAGAAAACTCATTTAAAGTTTGTGCAGTGTTAACGATTGAAATATGTTTTTTATATATATTTATTGTAGGAAATTTACAAAATATCTTTATGAAACATGTAGATCTTTACTTAATATCCTAATGATCTTTGGCATAAAGGAAAAATCCCTAATTTTGACCCATACAGTGAGTGTATTGTTGGCCATTGCCACAGATTCACCTGTGCAACTCGTGACTGGATTAGTGATCCAGAGTCACACATTTGCCATTTGGTGTTGCACTATTGTGTATGTGTGTGTTGACCTCTCAATCTGTCTTCTTGGACTAAGTCTGTCTGCCTAATGTCTTTAATGTAACTTAGTCACTCTAGATAGCAATTTATTCCTGCATTATGCAACCGAATTAAAAACAGTGAGGAGTTGAGTTGAGAGGAGACTCATTATGAATGTCACCAATAGTTTTTGACGAAAGCCTTGGAATAACACAGTTTGTTTTTCTACTTTCAGCAAAGGCCTTTAGATCAAAAGAATTTTTAATTATGAGAAATATATTCAATCAAGTATCAAGTCAAGTAACTTGTTTATATAGCGCTTTTTACAACACAGATTGTATCAAAGCATCTTCACAGTGATAACATGGAAATAATAAAACAAGTTTGTTTCTAGAAGAAAATTGCGTCATCGTCCACCTGAAGTAAGGCAGATAAATAATATAGTTGAATATTAAGTGCCCCCAATTAAGCAAGCCAAAAGCCAGTGAAGGAACCGAAACTCCATTAGGGCAGAATGGAGAAAAAACCTTGGCAGAACCCAGGCTCAGTTGCTCAGTTGTCCTCTGGCCAACGAGTGAACAGTGTGTGATTATGTTTCAGGTAACATTACAGAAGTCAGATTGGATCAGAACATAAACAATATTATCCAGTTGCCTCTGGTTGGGGGTCGGAGTCATCACACCGGTATGGGGCCGAGTTTGTAGAGGTGTCCCTGAGGCCTTCACAGGGCTGATGAGGCTGGCACTGCAGGGATGCGTTGTGGACGCGTCTAGGCTCAGGTCCACCGTCTGATCTGGATATGGCCCGGATCCGTCTGACTTCAGTAAACCTCTGAATAAATGGAAAGACTAACATTAGCGTAGATGCCGTTCTTCTTATGATGTACCCAGAGTACTCCCCCAGTTGTACCCAGAGTACTCCCCCCATTGTACCCAGAGTACTCCCCCGATTGTACCCAGAGTACTCCCCCAATTGTACCCAGAGTACTCCCCCGTTGTACCTAGAGTACTCCCCCGTTGTACCCAGAGTACTCCCCCGTTGTAGCCAGAGTACTCCCCCGTTGTAGCCAGAGTACTCCCCCGTTGTAGCCAGAGTACTCCCCCGTTGTAGCCAGAGTACTCCCCCGTTGTAGCCAGAGTACTCCCCCGTTGTACCCAGAGTACTCCCCCGTTGTACCCAGTGTACTCCCCCGTTGTACCCAGTGTACTTCCCCGTTGTACCCAGAGTACTCCCCCGTTGTACCCAGAGTACTCCCCCATTGTACCCAGTGTACTTCCCCGTTGTACCCAGAGTACTCCCCCGTTGTACCCAGAGTACTCCCCCGTTGTACCCAGTGTACTCCCCCGTTGTACCCACTGTACTTCCCCGTTGTACCCAGAGTACTCCCCCGTTGTACCCAGTGTACTTCCCCGTTGTACCCAGAGTACTCCCCCGTTGTACCCAGAGTACTCCCCCGTTGTACCCAGAGTACTCCCCCGTTGTACCCAGAGTACTCCCCCGTTGTACCCAGTGTACTCCCCCGTTGTACCCAGAGTACTCCCCCGTTGTACCCAATGTACTCCCCCGTTGTACCCAGAGTACTCCCCCGTTGTACCCAGAGTACTCCCCCGTTGTACCCAGTGTACTTCCCCGTTGTACCCAGAGTACTCCCCCGTTGTACAGAAAGTACTCCCCCGTTGTACCCAGAATACTCCCCCATTGTACCCAGAGTACCCCCCCCCCCATTGTACAGAGAGTACTCCCCCATTGTACCAAGAGTACCCCCCCCCCCATTGTACCCAGAGTACTCCCCCGTTTTTGTAAGAGTATAGAGGTGATGAGAAGGGGTGGTGGAGGGATGCTGTTAAACTGTCAATGAACGGAGGTAAGTTGACGTCATCAATCGCTCGGTTTTCACAAAGCAATCGATTCCTGAAACTTCTCACTGAATATCCTGATTCACTTTGAAATACGTCACATGGTAAATGGATGGTAAATGGACTGCATTTATATAGCGCTTTCATAGACCTAATGGCCACCAAAGCGCTTTACATATTGCCTCACATTCACCCATTCACACACTCATTCATACACCGACGGCGGTGTCAGCCATGCAAGGCGCCATCCAGCTCGTCGGGAGCAGCTGGGGTTAGGTGTCTTGCTCATGGACACCTCGACACTTGGTCAGGTGGAACCGAGGATTGAACCACCAACAATCCACATAAACCACTGAGCCACTGCCGCCCCACATTTCGGAAGTAAATTGGTTGCGAACGCAGTTTCCTGTTGACTTTTAGATAGACTGCAGTGTTATATCTGTTTCCCCAGTCGTGTGTGTGTGTGTGCAGCGCTGATGAGAGTGGTGTGTTTGTTTATGTCTCTAACAGAGGAGTTTTCTCAGCATGAGAGTGAATTATAGCAATTACTCTACCCTGATTATCACACACACACACACACACACAAACACACACACACGCTCTCTAATGCTTGGGAATCTCTTCAGATGAAGCGCTGTGGT